ACATATTCATATGAAAACAGGGAGACTAAATGAAAATCCAGAAACTGAATGGTGAAACTTACAGTTTTCTTCCTTGATCCAGCATTAGAGTCTTACCATCTAAACTTATTACCTCTGCCAATCCCCTCATCTCCATTATTCCAGTTATACAGATGGACAGAAAAATGAAGGACCTTTATCTGAAGAAATTGAAAACCTTGTCACCTACTACCCAGGGAAAAGAAGATAAAATATGGGAGGGGTGTCCAGCTGGCTCAGTCAGTAGAGCATGTGACTCTTGATCTCAACAAGGTTAAGTTTGAGCGCCACTTTGGGTGTAGAGATTACTTAAAAATAAAATCTTGAAAAACAAGATAAAACATGGGAGTTCATTAGTCACTAAGCCATGCTCATGCATGCCCAGTGAGCTTTCAAATCAGCTTTGAATGTTTCTTGAGTATGAAGGAACGGCTAAGGATCACGGAGAGCTGCAGAAAGCCTCCAACAAAAAGAAAAAGTCCAAAACCAACAAAAAAAAAAGTTTTAGAGGAACCAAAAATAATACAAGAAACAAAGAAATTATAATTAATATTCTTGAAGAGGTAACAGAAGTGCTACACCCATGAAAAAAGAACAAGATGCTACAATACAGGATCAAAGAACAAGAGTTCATAAAACATTGTTTTAAAAGAGAGCTAAAATTTAAAAATTCAATGAAAAGGTTGAAATCTCCCAGATCACAGCAACTTTTTGAGATCAAATTTCTCAACATCAACACTGGAAGCTAGACAATATGGGAACACCTCCAAACTTTTGAGGGAAAATGATTTCCAATATACAAACCTCTCAACAGCCAGTCAACTGTGAGGGTAAAAATAAAATCCCCCCCCCCCCGAAAAAATTATTTCCAACATACACTTCCACAGTAATAGTAGAGGAAACCAAAATGAAGGAATAAACCAAAAGGAACACATAGGATCCAGAAAAAAGGGACTCAACAAAAGTGAAAGAAATTCTCAGAATGTCAGCTAAGGGAAGTCCCAAGATGACAGCTTTGCAGCAGGCCTAAAGAGAAAACAATCCAGACTAAAGCAGGAAGAAAGACAGCTACAGAAGAGATGACTACAAGAACAAATAGAACTGGTAAGTTTATCTGACAGATCTGACCATGTGGAAAATTGTACTGAGAAGCATTTTATGGAGCTGCTGGAGGGTATAGAAAGATTTTGCTAGACAAAACTAAACAAATGAAAAAACAAGGCATGAGAAAAGGTTATACAAGAAAATGAAATTACAGTAAACTATGCCATCAGTGACAAATATTTGGCCATAATGATGAAAACTCTAAAACTGAATTTAAAGTAAAATCGTGGAATTAACAATATTAGAAAGATAGGGGAAAGTATAGTTTGAAAAGTCTTCCAACATCTATCACTGACATTTACATACCTTAAATTATTCATTTCTAACAGACTCTTGACTATAAAGAACAAACTGACGGTTATCAAAGGGAGGGGAGAGGGGTTAAAAGCTTAAGGAGGGCACTTGTGATGAACACTGAGTGATGTATGAAATTGTTGAATCACTACATCGTGTACCTTAAATGAATAGAACACTGTATGTTAACTGGAATTAAGATAAAAACAAAAATAACTATTATTCAATTCTTTAAGAATCTCTATTTTCATCAGAGTTAAATTCTGTAACTATACTTTCAAGGCAAACATTCTGTGAAATGCTCTGGTTTTATCTTTAGATACTTCACAGAATCATTCTAAGAAAAAAAAAGTTAATAAATGCAAAGCAAAAACACTAACAAAAATTAGAAGATCTATACAAGTTTTACTGCTTACTTGAATCATTAAAGCACTTTGTTATCTAATAATATGTTTGTTTTGCTCTTTGCTAGAATATAATTCTAAATGTCAGATACTTCCAGCACATGTCCATTTTTTACCTTCCACATTTACCAATTCAAAAATTTTACCATTTCAAAAATTTATTCACTCCTACAGGAAGATGGAATGTGAATTCTTCAGCAGATTACCTCTATAACCGAATCTGGTTATTTTCTAGTTTTAAAAATTTAAAATGTTTTGCACATCTCCTTTTTGTAAGAAATAAATTTAACTTTCACATGATGACTCAGGCTATCATGGAAATCAGCTACCGCACTACGACCAGATGGCCTCACAGGTTTTAGGTGCATAAGGCATCAACCTTTATGCTAAATGGGCTTGAACTGCCACATTTTTGTTATTCTGTTGTTTATCACTCTTAACTTTCAAATCCACTGTCAATGATCCTTACTGTATCTGGACTAATCCACTTTTTAATTTGCTATGGGGTTAAAAAATCATGTTTCTGACTCAAATAACATTGACTAAATGGCCTGCCAAGGCTTTTCATACACAGTTTCATTTAATCCATGTAATTCCTGTTAGAATGGTAGCCAATAAAAAAAATTAGTTCTCACTAAAGACTTAAAAAAAAAAAAACACCCAAAAACCAAACCTACTACATACAGTACAAGAACTTAACTGGTAAATGGGGTAGTGGGCTAGATTTTTTGGATTTTTGTTGTTGTTTGCTTTTGCAGGGAAGATTCATTCTATTTTCTTTGCTTAGATGTCTTTATAGCTCACTTCCTGTTCTGATTCAGATTGTTCAATCATGAAGCTATGGGATAATTGGGGTCACTGAACTATCCTATGTGCTATCCATGAACTATCCAACTTAGAGCAACACTAGAAAGAGATATATACACACACACACACACACACACACACACACACACACACACACACAACACAACAGACCTAACCACTCACTAAGATTTTTCTAAAGTAAACTCTAAGCCCAACCTGGGGCTTGAACTCAAGGTCCTGAGATCATGCATCACATGCTCCACCGACTGAGGCAACCAGGCGTCCCCCCCCACCCCCCCCCCACACCATCCACTCACTAAGATTCTTATATAAAGCCCACAGAAATGAGAATTGGATTACAAATTAGGATTTTCATATTTGCAATTATATTTATATTGAATTGATGTATGTAACCTTGCTATTTTAATAACAATTGCTTAAGAGTTTTCTTAATTAAAATAAATTTGATTTAGTTAAATCTGAACTTTAGAAGGATAAGAGTACTTCTTAAATTAAAAGGGAAAGATTTCCACCATTAAATTTATCAAGACACTGAAAAAAATTCTTCTCTTTGATTTTTAGTTTTTTCTCAGTAAAATGGCAGCATTTCTCTCTCAAAAAAAAAATGAAAATCGTACAATAGTGTTTACATCTAGTCATACGTAAAAACCCTACATAAATCATGGAAAAACATGTTCCCCACATTTTAATGTAGCAGCTATCATTCCTCATATTAAAGCATAATATAAGCTGTGACCTTCAAAAGGAGGAGCCTAAACGTAAAAGACTACAGAAATTTCTCTTTAACAGCCATTTCATTTTAAGGGCCATTTTTATGCTCCATTATTTTAAGTTAGACTTGTGAAAGAATGTTTACTTCTTTATTTTCAGCCATGCCAATACACTGACAAATGTTATACCCCACATTCACTTCCTCATTCAAAGAATTCAGAAGAACAAATACACTGTTTACACACCACAAATAAAACTAATACCAAACTGCAAATGCACAGACTTTCAGGCACTTATAACTTTTCAAGGTAACCACTAAAACAAAATAGCTTTAAAATACTAATCATATTAAAATTCCAGAGCTAATAGTATAAATTCCATCCTCAAAACCACTTTCCTAGAAGCAACACAGTCCAAAACTGAGAGAACTTTACTCAGTGCCAGAGTTCCTGATGGCTATGCTTAGATGTCAAAGCTTTGCTATAAGCAAAACAGCAGGGAAGAAGTAACCGTTACTACATACTCCTGTGCAGCATTTTTAAAAACTGTGAAAACTGCCACTCAAACAGCATTATTCATGATTTAAGCTACAATTCGATCAGCAATGCTAACACTGCTTGACATGTCGTTTTTCCTAAGAAACAATGATACTTTCACAGTACATTTTCAATGTATATTTATAATAAACATCATTATATGCTTTAGTCTTTTGATCACATAAAAATCTACTTTTCAACCAGTCTCCATGTTGTGCCACCGTCAGATCACTATATATCAATAACGAAATAAGTAGGACCATCTATTTTAAATAAACACTTTCGGAAAATTATATGGCTAACCTACATTTTAAAAGAAAACTGCCTAGCCCTGTCTGAAACGGACGCTCGTGAATTTGCCATTTTCTGATGTTAAAACATTTTGCAGTCACTTGATCTGACCAAAAAACGTCAACGCTCCTGATTTTATCATTTGCTGCAGGAAAAAAGAATATGGCTGAAAATTCTCTCCGAAGGGTGGTGGTATTCCAAAGAGGACCCCAGAAAACACTTGAGAATACGGAGCGGTGCGGAAGGTACCTTATGAAACAGCACACTTCGGGCCCTGCACACTACCTCATTTCCCTAATAGGGATGAAAAGCTCGGGCCTCTGGTAGCTTCCAGCTGACGCCAATGCTCTCCACACCCCTTTTTTGACAGGATTTTCTGGCGCTGGAGCCTGTGGTCACAAATACGAATTCCGCGATCACGTCTAAACGGTCTAAATAATCAAGAATCTTTTACAAGACCAAACCCTTCGCGATCCCATCACCTCCCATCTCCCTCCGTAGTCCAGCACACCTAAGCGGGTACTGTAGACCGAATTCTACAAATCTTTCAGCGCATTAACTAGGAGATAGAAACAATATTTAAAAATGAGAGTTTCGGGCATTCCCCTCGCTGCAACTGAAATTACAGGCTCCATTTCCTGTCCCCAAAGGGACTGCAAAATCGTCCGCTGAGAACGGGACGCCTCCCGCCCCCTCCAGGCTGGCGCCCGCGACCGCCACACTCCCCCTGCCCGGGCCCCGCGGGCGCGAGGAGGTGGCGGGGACGCGGGGACCCGGGGCGCCCTCCCCTCCCCCTCCCAGCGCCAGCACCCACCTCGCGGCAGCGGCTTCACCTCCCCGTTCTCCTCCCGGGCGGCCCCGCTGGCCTCGCCTGCCCCGCCGAGGCCGTGCCTCCTCCTTTCCTTCTCTCGCTTCTCCTTGGGTCGGCGCGGCTTGGCGTTGGCCGAGGAGGTGGCGGCCGGGAGCAAGAGATGGTGAGGCTGAGCGTGCAGCAGCGTAGGAGGGACCAGCAGTTTGCGCGGCACCGGCTGAGATGAGGAAGCAGAGGCTGACGAAGGGACCGCGGTGCCAGCGGAAAAAGAGAAACTGCTCCGAGCAGAGGACGGGGAGGAGGCAGCAGACAGACCGGGAAAGCTCCAAGACGCAGGGCTGCCATAGCTCTGAGGCGAAGGTGCCGCCAGCGGCTGCAGCTGCCTGCTGTTCCCGCCGCTGCTCCCTTCTCCGTTCAGTCTCCTCGGCGCCTTCTTCTCCTCAGTCCGGACCTTCTTGGCCGACAGAGGACCTGGTGGGTCCCGGAACGGGGGCTGCAATTTGCCAAACGGTTCTTTCTCCGAGACGGCAGCGGTAGCGCCGTGCACGGGGCTCGGCGGTTCCGCCATTTTGCGCTCCTGTTGTATTTACTCTCCTCGGCTCCCGGGCGCGGGGCAGGGGCGGGCCCTCAGCGAGGGGCGGGCGAGGGGCGGGGGAGGGGCGGAGCGGACGGGCCACCGGCGAAGCCCTCCATTGGACGAACCATGCTGAGGGATCCCTCTGGGAGCCAACCAAAGGCGCGAATCTGGAGCCGAAGAGGCAGGATCGCCAAGCGGACCCGTTTTGGAGGTCACAGCTCCTCTGGGCGCGGCTTAGTGGCGGAGCTTGCCGTGAGGGGAGGGTCTTCCACTTGTCGCCAGCGTGAACTCTGGTGCCCCGTGAGTGTTCGGAATGGACCCCCAAATCTGCCCCCGCCAGGTCGCACTCGACTCTGTTTCGACGACTTTTTTTGTATCACTTTCTCTTCCTTTTTGCCTTGGGGTCCCTTTGGTCCCTCCCTTTCTCTTCGCTCTCAGAAATCCGAGTTTCGCAGATGCTTAGCTCAGAGGAGAAAATTATGTGCGGAATTAAGTCCTTCCTTCTGTTAGGCAGTTGGATGGGAGGGACCAAAAATCACTTGGTGTCCTGACAAGATTTGTTACTGTTGCTAAGATCGTCAGCTCTAATGCTTTGAGGGAGATAACTTCCTGCAAACCTAGAACTTTCGGATTTCTTCCGAACTTGAAGGTAAGACGCCCTGGAGAATTTTTCTTTTAAACTTTTATGGTACACCCGTAAAGATCTTGATTTTATTGCAGTTGTTACAAATGAAACTTGCTAAGAAAAATCCGTTAGCGATATTTATTGATGTTTGAAAGGCAAAAAAAATTTTTTTAACTGTAAAATAGTGGTTAGCATCCTGAGTGTTCGATGTTTTATAAGCGTGTGTTTTGATTTCTAGCTTAGAAGATAAGGAATTGGGGGAGATGAGGTACAGTAGTACAGTTGCAACCGAGGCGAGGAGTAAGATTTTAATTTAACTCTGAGGTCTCACAGGAGATTAACAAGTCAAAGGAACAGACGTAAAAATAAAAGTCAAATCAGGAAATGAGCAGTCGGAGAATATTCTTAAGTCTTAAAAGGAGCCCCAAGTAACCTGTAACTTTATGGAAAACAGTTAAAAGTAACTTTCCAGGATTATCATTTCTTGTGACCGTATGAAATTGGAATTTTTTGTTTTCCCTTTTTTGTTTGTTTAGAATACTTTGGAGTCAAAATTTAATAGTGGTCCTTTTTTTAGGTGCGTCAGATTTTTAAAATAATCAAAGTATTTACTTCCTTTAATACATATCAGTGAAAGAAAGTGAAAACTTAGTGGTTGCAATTGATTGTCAGCATATGTATTCACGAAAAGGAACATTGGTGGGAAAGCAGACTAAGAGGATGGGGCTGAAAATCATCAGCTACTAACTAGCTTTGTGACCTCCGTCACAGTGCTTCATCTGTCAGAGCCTCTGTTTTAGCGGAATAAATTCAATTACATGATCACTAAGGTCTCTTCCATGCTCTAAACTTCTGCCATATGCAAGAAGCTTTACAAAGTCACACTGAAACCATTACAATTAGAGTAGCTTCTTTTTTTTTTATTTAAAAAAAATTTTTTTTTAATATTTACTTATTATTGAGAGACAGAGCATGAGCATGGGAGGGGCAGAGACAGGAGAAGACACAGAATCCGAAGCAGGCTCCAGGCTCTGAGCTGTCAGCACAGAACCTGACGCGGGCTCGAACTCACAAACTGTGAGATCATGACCTGAAGTCAGATGCTTAACTGACTGAGCCACCCAGGCGCCCTAGAGTTAGCTTCTTAATTGTTGACCTTCCAAGCGCATAAATGTTTCTCTTGTGTATGATAATATGGTAATTGGAAACTTGTGCCATTTATTTTCTCATCTCCCACATAGAAGTCTAGGATGTCTAACTTTGTAAGGGCCCAGCTATGATGTACTCTCACCTACGATGTACTCTCACCTTCAGGAATTTTTTTCTGCTTGCACTATATATAGTCTTTTATACTATTATGCACTCTTATCAGTCCTAACCTTAAATTTGCAGAGCCTGGGCAAATGTGGCTCAGAGGCTCACGTACCATGTGTCTAAACATTTAAGTTATAAATCAAGATAACAAACTATTATAAAAAAAATATTCTGGGCCACCTGGCTGACTCAGTCAGTGCAGCATGCAACTCTTGATCTCAGGGTCTTAAGTTCGAGCCCCACATTGGGTGTAGAGATTATCTAAAAAATAAAATCTTAAAAAAAAAATGTATTCTATTCTAATACATGATGTATCTACTGAAATAATGATCTGGAAGGCCAGGTTTAAATTTAGAACTCTCATATTTCTAGCATTCTCAGATGCATCCCATTCTCTTCCCATTCCCAGCTTCTTCACTTACCACACCAGAAGAAACCTTGCATGTGTGCATTCAACATGTCCAAGCTTATGTCCACATCCTTCACTTCCTGCAAATAGTGATGTCTAATCAGCACAGCTCTGTCTGCCCCCTGATCTGGGCACACATGGTCCCCTGATCTCATGGACTCCTTACACTTTGCAATTGGAGGAAGATCCTTCCAGGTAATTCAGTTTGCACTATTATTGTTATCAGCGTTCAATTAACTGTTTTCTTTCCTGTGTAATCAACCATTCTCTTTCAACTAGATCATTCCTTATAATATTAGGAGAGAATTCCCATCACTGTCACCAATTCCTGTTGGCTTAATCTCTGCTGCCTTACTGAAACCATGCACTTTTCTCCATGCCCATTGTTGGTACCCTATTCAAAGTACTGCCCCCTCGCACCAGGATAACTACACTGACCTTTGTTGTGATTTCCCTATATTCTTGTTGTCTCAAATCTGTTCTCCATTCTACCCAGAATGCTCTTTTCAAAACCTAAATTTGGTAATGTCTCTTTCCTTGCTTCACACCTGCCAGTGGCTTCCATTGCTTTTAGGATAAAGAGCAAATCCTTAATGTGACCTACAAGACACATCATGATCTAGTACTTTCTTCTGTATCAAGGTAAAAGCTCTTTAGTTTCTAGAATGCACCATGCTATCTTTCAACCTAAGAATATCACATATGTTTCCACTGTGTGGAAAGCTTCTCTCCTTACCTGATGCTTCTGTGATGGTTTGGTTAATGAGCATAATGGAGGCAGAGATCATGAATACCTCCATTATTTCTAACCTGCATGACTTGATGGACAGTGGTACCATTCACTGAGCTAGGAAACATTGGAAAAGGGACAAGTTTGGACTACTTCCTGACCTTGGACCTGATGAACATGAGATGCTGGTGAGAAATCACTTCCTTTGGATCTCAACTTAAGCCAATTCTCACTTGTTTAGAAAGCCTACCTTTTCTTCCCCATCAAGACTAGATTCCTTGTTTGTTCCTGTTCTTTTTAGCCCCATTTCTTCTGCTTTTCGTTGTTGTTATCAACTCACTGATAATCTTTCCCACACCTTTTCATTCTCTCCTCTATAACAAGCTCTGTTGAAAACATACCCCATATACCCTGCTTCTCCATCTTGTTTGAAACCTTGAGGACACAGCCTGTACATTTGAAAGTTGTTTCTTCTCAGGGCGCCTGAGTGGCTCAGTCAGTTAAGTGTCTGACTCTTAATTTCAACTCAGGTCATGATCTCGCATCAAGACTCCACACTGGTCTTGAGCCTGCTTAAGATTCTCTCTGTCCCTCTCACAGAATTTCAGGTTGTTAGTAGTCTTTCAAAGTCATGTCAAAATCCCTCCCTCCTATCAGATTTTTGTGGTATGGCTGTATCATCCTTCACTGACTTCCTGGTCATTTTGCCACACTTAATGAAGATTTTGATATTTTGCTTATGTTCATGCCCTGTACCCTTCAGCCAACATTTTAACTGACCTCAGTGTCCACACTAATGAGCCATCCAATATTCTTGCCTCAGTGTTTCTTCTAGGACTTGCATTTCCATTCTGTTTCAGTCACAAAATAGCCCTTTCCTGATCCTTTTCATCACTCTTCCATCTCTGAAATCCTAAACTACAGTGTCTTAATATTCAGGTTCCTCATTCCTCTATACCATACCCTTCCCTTTGACCTCAGGAGTACTCCCAGACTCTAGATCTTTCTTTTTTACCTAATTATGATTGCCAAATAAAATATAGGACACCCAGTTAAATTTGGATTTCAGGTAAACAATGAATAAATTTTTAATGTAAGTATCCCCCTACAGAATTTGGAATGTATTTATACTAAAAAGATAATCTTTTTTTAATTAAAAAAAAATTTTTTTAATGTTTATTTATTTTTGAGAGAGTGCAAGGGGAGGGGCAGAGAGAGAGGGAGACACAGAATCTGAAGCAAGCTCCAGGCCCTGAGCTTTCCACACAGAGCCCAACACAGGGCTTAAGCTCATGAACCATGAGATCATGACCTGAGCTGAAGTCAGATATTTAACCCACTGAGCCATCCTGGTGCCCCTAATTTTTTTTCTTAATGTTTATTTATTTTTGAGAGAGAGAGATACAGAGTACGAGCAGGGGAGGGTCGAAGAGAGAGGGAGACACAAAATCTGAAGCAGGCTCCAGGCTCCAGGCTGTCAGCACAGAGCCCAACACAGGACTCAAACCCACGAACTGTGTGATCATGAAATGAGCTGAAGTCAGCTGTTTAACCGACTGAGCCACCCAGGCACCCCAAAAATATTCTTTATTTATCTGAAATTCAAGCTTAACTAGATGCCCCTTTTTAATTTTCTCAGTAAATCTGGAAGCCCTATAGTAATCCATCCTTTCTATACTTTCTTCACTCTCCAGCCTAGAGTCTATAGTATGTAATTGGTAGCAAACATTTACTAACACCTCAGTTCCTCACACTCTAATTCTCTTCCTCTCCATGCTGCTGGCAACGTCTATATCTGCTCTTCTGTAGCCGGCCTGAGCATTGTTCCCTCTTTTCCATTTAAATGTTTGGCATATGTCCCTGCTCTCGATCTCACTTTGCACACTTCTTTGTGATAGTATGCATCACAGTGTCTTCTGATCGCTCACAAATGCTGACAGTTC